GACTTTCCGAATCCACCTTCTGTCCTATTCTTTAAAGCTTAAAGATGCTAACTCCTGAAACTGTTTTTGGGAGTAGCGTGCTTATTAAGGACTTGATATTACTGAGGTCATGCTCAAATCTAGCCTTTGGTTCTTTACCGGGAGATTCTCTTAGTTTGTGAAAGATGACTAGCCGGTCTGCGAGGTCCGTCTTAACACACTGTGAGATTTTAGTTTCTGAAACCATTTTGTAAAATGTGATCGATATACGAACTCACCAATAATGAAGGGAAACGCCTACCACTACATTAACTCCCTTTGACCTTGTACTGCTGTATCTCTTTATTAACCAATCACAGTTTGATGTTCATTGTAAAACAATATTTGCTTGTTGACTCATTTTTCCTATTCTCTGGCTACTGTTCGGTATGTTATTTGTCTGTTTTTCCCTGTATTAATAGACCGTACAGTTTGTTTGTACACTAACAATGTTATTTTATGTTTTAGAAACAGATAAAGTTTATCTAGCCAAATAGGTTGCTTGTTCTGACTTTGGCCAAACCAAGACTCTGTATTCGACGGTCTAGAGAATAGCTCAGAATTAAATCTGTAGGAAATTGCTCCCTACAATTTCTTCATTGCACTCCGATTTCAATTCAGCGTCAAGCGCAGAGGCTACGTTCTGCTTTCTTACTTTATTTCGTAGATGTGAATATGAGGCAGTTATTTACCTTATTTTGTCTATTGATCACATCCTTTACACTACTCAGACTTGGCTCCCATGTGGATTGTATTACATTCATATATGAGTCCGGGACTAAACCCGCAGATTCACATGCCTCAGTACGATCTATAGGTCGCTTCTTCTTCTCTGCGCTCTTCTTTCTCCTTGTAACAATGCCTACATCCATACGCTTATCTGTTTTCCTGATGAGGTTCCCCTCTATGGTCTCATTCAAGCATAGAGCTGAGTTAATCATAACGCTCTCAATTTCCTCAAAAACAGAGTTTTGATCATCTGCTGTTGCCTGTTTATCAGAGGATGATTTCCTTGCTAAGTTTAGCATCTCGATCGCCTCTAGAATCAGCAGAGACTTAGTAGAACAACATGCTTTACACAACTAGTGTGATGATGGCTTGCAGCACCGTTTACATGCAGCCGGTGCACACATTTTGACACCATTTATTGCAGTTAACAGATTGCATGCAATCATCGACCGGGAAATAGCATCCTGGTCTACCACGACGATGTTTCAATCGCGCCATGTATTTGTTTGTTCCTATATAAATAAAACGAAGAAACAATACAAAAAGCTACTTCAGTAGCTACCGAAAGATTTTAACACCTGTGGATACAAACAATGCCCAAAGATATATTCAACGAAAAAGATTAAGTACCAGTGCCTTTAGTTATATGTATCTGTACTCGTTAAGTACAGAAGATTAACTTCTCTAGAGAAAAAGCTGTACTCTTGTGAATCACTTTGACTGGAAGAATTCAATTAAAGCAAAAATAGGCTGCTATTAAACGCAACTCGATTTCGTAAACGTGACAGTTATTTAATTAAAAATACATTATGAAATGACAAATTCTATGATTACTTAAACGCACAGATGACCGTCATTACACTGAGCGATACATTAGAGTTACATGGTTGCGTTGAGGATAAAACCACCCAAAAATACCATTGCCATTTTTGGATAGCGCGCGTTAGAACAAATTCGACAAAAATCACACTACTTGGTGTATTTAAAAAGCAATACATGTTGCATAGAGAAGTGGTTTGTGTTCCTTCGGTCGGTCCAATAAAATAGGAAGAATTCCAGATAATTTACCATCGACATTCAGACCTCCAACCACAAATCTGTATCTGAATCAGCCGGAACATACAAATTATTATTTACGGCGCGTTGTGATGCTGTGGTGAGCACTTCGGTATTTGCCCGAACATTCATAAACGAGATCTGTTTTCCACATAGATCAGTTTAAACAATTATTAGTGTTTTCGCATTTATGTAGCAATAATTAGAGTTTAAACAGGACCTCTGGTCATCCGTATTTCTGTTTATGATCCTCTACGGTCCAAAACCAATATAAAACAAACCCCACATCCTACTTGCTTTATTGTTTCCTGGTCACACATTTTTGGTTATTTTACCGACTAGGTCCATTCAATTCTGACAAAGTCATATTTGAGTCCATATTATTAACAACTTGTGTCTTCTGGGATAGAGGTGATTGAGTCTGGTTTCCATATTATTCGTGGATTTACATGTATTATTAACTTATTTCATACAAAAGGTCATGCATGATCAAATATACACATCCTTCTTCCGTCTCCATTTATTTGTTTGTATCAATTTGATCCAGTAACACAATACTAACTTGGTAGAAATTAATCTCAGGTTCCACCGTTTGATAAGCACTCAACAGACACTCGGATTTAAGAGGAATATGAGTTCAAATGGATTCTAGACGCGGGATTTGGATGTGTTCTATTGTCTTCAGACCTATGATCTTATACCGTCGTATAATCACAGTCTATCAGTGAGATAAACATCACTTCATCAGTAAGGTGTATTACTTGGATCTACGTAATTAACTGCTAGTCTCACCGAGAATTTAGTCTGTTTGCAACAATTCAGTCAAAGCATTTTACATATCCAAGTGCTCGTGAAATGACGGACGCAGTGTCTAGCGTTTTGCCAACTATGACATACAACTTACGAGGAGAAGTTCCAAATTACTTTTCGAACGCTTACACACTAGTCTCGGGTGTTTTCTTAATTTAATGACGTAAATCCAGGTTGAGGAATCCATAAATAAAAACATTTTGCGTATTTGATAAGATGAGCTTCATGGTCCGTGTTTCCAGAAAATAGCCTTTTTTCGTCCGGTTACAGTCTGTTTTACTTAATTACAAATATATTGTCATTTAAAGTACTTTTGAGAGCCAAGCGTGCAAACTTACAATTGATGATTTACATTAAACCATAGGTCTTAGCCTAATATACTTAAGATTACGCATGCGCAACTACCGACTTCCACGGCGCCCAGTGATGATTAGTGTTGAAGACGGTCGAGAAAAACGTGACATCAGTCCATAAAGTCTGGTCTGAGCCATGTCGGTAGATGTAAACTACTTGGTTGGGTTTCGCGTGACTATCGTAACCAATGGTTGGAGACTCTTGGTGACGTGGCTTAGAATGGAGCTCAATTGCATGGGTGTATTCACTCTTTGTCTCCCCTCAAAACATGAGAATGAATTTATTTGATACCTTTCTTACTGCGAAGTAGTCCTTCCTCCTTGTATCATCCTTATATGCGACCTTTTTCTGCATATATTATTACCATTGATGTATCCGCCTCTTTGAATTTGGTATTCATCTTGTACTAATTAGGTATGGAAACTTGGACCGTTGCATATATGTGCCTGGTCCTACTTTTTAGGTGAATAATATTTAATAATAATATATAATATATGTAGAACAAGTTTCCTTATAACTATTTAAAATCCTGCAACGCATTAGCGAATTCCTTCTTTAATGATGGTCATCACTAAAGCAGCTATCTAATAATTAGTTTAACCTGGTGTAGACTCGCAACTTCGAAGTCGAATTCGAATTTCTTGAAGATAAACAGGAACGAACACCTTTGAAAAAGTCTGGCAAAGTTTAACAACAAGAAGTCCACTCTTATTTGAAGTAAATTACAATTTGTTTATGGGATATATAGTTCACGATATTTCGGCTAACAAATAATCTGGTTATGAATGACAACTTGTTTTTTATGATAATTTCTCTATCGTCGTTTTGGCGTTCTTCATATTTGGTAATAGGCACGACATTAATATCTTGTCAAGGTCTTTGAGGGGTTTCTTACTTATACCTTCGCATAGTCCGTTAATTATATCTTAAATTCATGTATAAGAGTAGAAGACAATTACAAGCTATTAGTATTTGACCACAGATGCCTTAAAAATATTGCTGGCGTCTGCCGGGATCACCGGGTAAGTAATAGTGAGGTTAGACGCATGGTATTAGGGAATGATTGTAAGTCAGTTGATGAGGTTGTGAATCTTCATCGACTGAGATGGTTGGGCCACGTGTTACGTATGCTCGAACACCGATTACCACGACGTGCAATGCTAACCGGTGTTGGGGATGGTTGGAAGAAAGTTAGGGGCAGCCAAACCAAAATGTGGCATCAGTGCTTGAAGTCACTAACTTCTAGTCTGAGCCATGTTGGTAGATGCAGACTACTTGGTTAGGGTCCGCGTGACTATCGTAACCAATGGTTGGAGACTCTTGGTGACATGGCTAAGAATCGATCACAATGGCGTCGGTGTATACACTCTCTGTCTTCCCTTAAACTAAGAGATTAAAATCGCTTCATATTTTTCTTTCTACGAACTAATTCTTTGTTCCTGTACTATATCCTTATTGCAATCTTTCTTTTATATATTACCACCTCTGAATTAACTACTTTTATGAATCCGGTGTCCAACTTGTTGTGTTAATAAGGTGTGGCAACTTGGACCGATGCATATATGTGCCTGGTCCTACGTTTTAGCTGACTGACTACCTCATATAAATTGTAGAGATGGTTTTTCTAACCTTAATTCAAATCCCCAGGAGCTTTTTGTTAGTTCCCTCACACAACTATCTTTGAAATATCTATTATCAATTCGTCTGTATTTAGGTTTTTTTCTCAAAGCGGACTGATCAAGTCTAATTTTGTTGTCTTCTGGAAGCGTATTTGTTTAGCTCTTCCAAACTTCATAACAAAGCCAAAGTTCTAAATGTCATTACTGGTCTTGTTGCTAAGTCAAATGCTAATATTGACCGAATAGTTTTCCTACCATCCTGCGTGTGACTAAACACTTATTGACATGCGTTAAAATCTCGCGAACCTTAATGGCTCTAATTATCAGACCCTAGTACTTGAAGTACCATTGTTACTGAAGTGTATACTTGTGATCTGGTCTTACGAATTTTTGTACTGTCCCTGCTGGGTATGTATTATATCCATTCATTTATTTGCTCGCGTCTATAACTTGATCTCTTTAGTAGTCATATCGTATCTGCATATTACGATTTTCCAACGTTATATTTACTCATTTTAACAATCCAAACGTTTACTGCAAAAATATCTGCCAGAATTCAGTCCAGAGGACTTCTCACGGAAACTGTCAATTTGATAAAATGATATATTGTTGAATTGTAATCGAAAGTCTTTGGTGCAAATCAGTAGAAGTTGGTTAAATTCGTCCATTTGCAAATGATTTCCCAGTATTTCGACACATAGATTTTCTAGTTTCTTCTAGTGGGATTGCGGTAAATAATAATGATATATCAAATGAAACTATCAATTGTAGATGACTGATTATCATGAAGATTGATATTAGTTATATTTTACAATAGATTCAAATTTTTATTAGATTACATGTTCAGTGAATGCGATTGATCATGATAAGTTATATCTCAAAATAATACCCATGGTTTTTGAAAGATAGTTTATTCTGCAATCAGGAACTCAATAGTGCTCTTCTATGTTTTTGCACACGATTGTCGCTCTTATCCGATTCTTTATTTCTTTTCTATTAGGATCACACATCGTTGGTTCTAATTCACTGGAGTTAAATAGCCATGCTGGTTTTCTTTACCTATGAGTTCTTTTGGTAATCTCTTCAAACAGAAAGTTCTACCTAGTGGCTCAAGGATCAACTTGAGGACAAAATTTCGTAAGTGGATAATTGCTTTCAAACGTGCCTCACCAAAAATGTCCGCTAAGTTATGTAAGAGCTTAAATCGATCCATGTTCACGTTCGATAGTTACTAATTCCATTGATTGAAGGGATCTAATTAACGATAATAGTTAGTACAAATTAAAATACACTCCACAAAATCATATATTCTATGCTAAACATAAAAATTTAATACCAACTGTGAATCACAGTCAATGGCTGGAAAAATCATGAATTACCTGTAACGATATACGAATGATTCAATTAAAGGTGGTCTAGAAGTACACAATACAAACTGATCGGTAGATTGTCACATGAGTTCTTACGTAGCTTGAATTTTTCTTTGGGCGATGTAGTGTACATAGTGGATATCCACGAGTATAGCATCTCCCATCCAGAGCTATATTTTAAGCGATACTCATGTACAAATAAAAGGTAAGGAAATTGGAATTATTAGGTAGAAGTGTGACGGACAGTACTCACAAGATTGCTTATAAGTATTATGTAGCGAAACGTCGCGAGTAAGTTGCTACAGTTGACAGCCGAAGAGAAGAGTCCCAGGAGGTCAATTAGCATGGCTTATGCAGAATACTTTGCATATCAGAAGAGAAGCGAAATAAGAGTCTAGAACCAACTTTGATTGAAGAACACAACAAGATGCGAATAGATAACTGACGACTAAGTGTACATATTGCGTAAACATTCCGTAATCTCACCAAATAAATATGCTTCCCGGCCATTCCGTCTGGACTTACAGTACCACAAATAACTCACGGGACCCGCTTGGAGTCCCTCCGGGGGCCTCTGCCGGTCCCAAGCCCGGATAAAGGAGGAGGGTTGGGCATGGGGTTAGCGACCCCACCCCGTAGAAAACTAACTCGCTAAAAAACGCTAACCAGAAAAAAATATTCGAACCATTTAAACTCTGCCCTGGGAATCAGAAGGTCTTCATTTAGAAGAATTATGACGCCTCATGATGATAGCCGAGTTCCTTCAGAAGTTACGAGGCCGATGCACCTTCTGACAACCAGAGCAACCATTTATTTGGGTACATGGAATGTTCGTACAGTGTGGGACACCGCGAGAGCCTTCCAAATTGCTGCAGAAATGAGAAGATACAACCTAGAGGTGCTTGGGATCAGTGAAACACATTGGACGAAAGTTGGACAACAACGACTAACTTCAGGAGAGCTTCTGTTATACTCTGGCCATGAAGAAGAAAATGCCCCACATACACAAGGAGTTGCATTGGTGCTGTCCAAACAAGCACAAAATGCACTTATAGGATGGGAATCTCATAGACTCACGATCATCAAAGCCTCGTTCAAAACAAAGCAAGAGGGCACTTCAATGAACATCATCCAATGCTATGCGCCTACCAACGACTACAATGAAGACGCTAAAGATCAATACTACAATAGGCTGCAGTCAATCATCGAGAAGTGCCCAACAAAGGACCTGACTATTCTGATGGGAGATTTCAACGCCAAGGTTGGAACGGACAACACCGGATATGAAGACATCATGGGACGACACGGACTGGGAGAAAGAAACGAAAATGGTGAGAGATTTGCAAACCTATGTGCCTTCAACGAACTGGTCATAGGCGGCACCATATTCCAACATAAACACATACACAAACCCAAATCGACCATATCTGCATCAACAAAACGTTCAGGAGGAATATGGAAGACGTGAACACCAAGAGAGGAGCTGATATGGCATCAGATCATCACTTGCTGGTCGCCAAGATGAAATTGAAACTCAAGAAGCACTGGAAAATGGGGCGGACAATATCACAAAAGTTCAATACGGCCTTTCTTCAGGATACTGACAAACTCAACGAATTCAAGATAGTCCTCAGCAACAAGTTCCAGGCCTTTCATGATCTACTCAATGGAGAAGGAACTACTGTGGAGAGCAACTGGAAGGGGATCAAAGAGGCAATCACTTCAACATGTCATGAGATCCTGGGTAACAAGAAGCACCATCACAGGGAATGGATCACTGTTGACACACTGGATAAGATTCAAGAAAGGAGGAACAAGAAGGCGGCAATCAATACCAGCCGAACAAGAGCAGAAAAAGCCAAGACACAAGCTGAATACACGGAAGTAAACAAACAAGTGAAGAGGAGCATCAGAACTGACAAACGTAAATATGTGGAAGAACTAGCAATGACGGCGGAAAAGGCTGCAAGAGAAGGGAACATGAGACAATTGTATGACACGACAAAGAAACTCTCTGGAAATCGCCGCAAACCAGAACGACCAGTGAAAAGCAAGGAAGGCGAGGTAATCACCAACATTGAAGAGCAACAAAACAGGTGGGTAGAACACTTCAAAGAACTCTTGAATCGACTAGCCCCACTGAACCCACCCAACATCGAAGCAGCACCAAGGGACCTCTCAATCAATGTTGGCCCACCAACAATTGAAGAGATCAGTATGGCCACCAGACAAATGAAGAGCGGCAAAGCAGCAGGACCAGACAACATTCCAGCACGGGCACTGAAAGCAGACGTAGCAGTAACTGCAAGGATACTCCACATTCTCTTAAGCAAGATTTGGGATGAGGAACAAGTACCAAAAGACTGGAAAGAAGGACTCCTGATCAAAATACCAAAGAAAGGCAATCTCAGCAACTGTGATAACTACAGGGGCATCACTCTTCTCTCAATACCGGGAAAAGTCTTCAACAGGGTATTGTTAAACAGGAGGAAGGACTACGTAGACGCCCGACTTCGTGACCAACAGGCTCGATTCCGTAAGGATGGATCGTGTACAGACCAAATATCAACTCTACGGATCATTGTGGAACAATTGAATGGAATTCATCACTCTACATCAACTTCATTGACTACGAAAAGGCATTTGGTAGCGTGGACAGAACAACACTATGGAAGCTTCTTCGACACTACGGCGTGCCTCAGAAGATAGTCAATATCACACAGAACTCATATGATGGATTACACTGCAAAATCGTGCATGGAGGACAGTTGACAAAGTCGTCTCAATATACACAAAGGGAAAAGCAAGATTCTCCGATACAACGCAGCATGCACCAATCCAGTCACAATTGACGGAGAAGATTTGGAATATGTAAAAACCTTTACATATTTGGGCAGCATCATTAATGAACAGGGTGAATCTGGTGCAGATGTGAAGGCGCGGATCGACAAAGCAAGAGCAGCATATTTACAACTGAAGGACATCTGGAACTCAAAACAGCTGTCAACCAACACCAAGGTCAGGATTTTCAATACAAATGTCAAGACAGTTCTACTGAATGGGGCGGAAACCTGGAGAACTACGAAAGCCATCATCCAGAAAATATAGGTGTTTATTAACAGTTGTCTACGCAAAATACTTCGGATCCGTTGGCCGGACACAATTAGCAACAAAGTACTGTGGGAGAGAACAAACCAGATCCCAGAGGAGGAAGAAATCAGGAAAAAGCGCTGGAAGTGGATAGGACACACATTGAGGAAAGAACCCAACTGCGTCACAAGGCAAGCCCTCACATGGAATCCTCAAGGCCAAAGGAAAAGAGGAAGACGAAAGAACACATTACGCCGGGAAATGGAGGTAGACATGAGAAAAATGGACAAGAATTGGATGGAACTAGAAAAGAAGGCCCAGGACAAAATCGGTTAGAGAATGCTGGTCGGCGGTCTATGCTCCATTAGGAGTAACAGGCGTAAGTAAGTAAGTTATACGATTTGTTTACAAATAATTTTCACAGTATCGGCGAGTTATTCGCATTTTATCATTGTGTTCATTACGTCTGATTTTCTCTCCATATTGTGATATTGCAACATAGTTAAAACACCCGTTTCAATTATATATATATATATATATATATATATATATATATTCAAATTTGTACTGTTACGAATAGTTCGTACTACTATGCGTACTACAGTGCACAACTCATCCGTACACTACATAGTAGTTAGTTTGTTGGTAATTTTAACTGAAAAACGTTTGACTTTTTTATTTTGCTAGATACTTATTTCAAACAACTGGCAGGAGATTATATTTCATCTGGTCGTGACACTCTACAACTTATTCGTCAAAATCCAGTACCATCTACTCTCTGGACTTCAGCTGTCCTTGCTTTATCATACATTACCAGCACCTGTCCCAATAAACAGAATTATTATGATTCTCTCGTTGAATCTGCTATTGATTTGTGGGAAGTTCCAGATCTTATACGCAACTCTGGAAGTGCCAGCTACATTCATAAATGTCTTAAATTATTCTCTAAAGAACAGATTAGGTATAATAACCTTGGATTATTTGCAATTATCTGGCGTGATGATCGAACTCAGTCGTGTTATCAGTATGCAGAAATATGCAAGTACACCTATCCTGCGAACGGGGGAGGGAATTTCACAGGTCTCCTTCGTTTATTCTTGTTCGATCGTCCTCAAGAAAATGGTCTGGAACGCATACAGAATATTGTTCAGGATCGCATTTTGGATTTTGGATTCATGGGAAAATGGTGGTTCATGTCACACTACATGGATAGCTATGACATCAATCCTGACGAATGGGAAACTCCAAAAATCTTCGAGAAGCTCACCAGGAAAGAGTCGGACTAATAACAGTTTTAAAAGCAGTGCGAAACCTAGTCAGCCTACTTGCTCGTCATCTCATTTTAAACCATCTGAAGATCATAACTGCAGCGGACAAAATATTGAATTATATTTGAATAGTCATAATAACATGAATGATGACTGGGAAATAATAAATGAAGAAGTTTTGTACGTAGACTGTCAAGGTCTGCTAGAAGATGATATCTTAACCCCATCTAGTGTCATTCGCCTTGTGGATATAGAGTCAGATAAACCTCTTATGCAGGTAAATTAGCTGTCGATTCAGTGTTTTTTTTTAAAGCGTACATCTACTAAGTTCATGGTCTTTCATAATCAACCTAAACTAATACCCATTTTTCCTAAGGCACCAATATATTTAAGTGCATCATATGAGGAGTTTCATTACAACGATGTTCCTAAACGTTGCGCTTTACTTACTTACTTACGCCTGTTACTCCTCGTGAAGGAGCATAGGCCACTCACCAGCATTCTCCATCCAACCCTGTCCTGGGCAATCCTTTCTAGCTCCGTCCAGTTGTAATTCATCCTTTTCATATCTGCTTCTATTATCCGACGCAATGTGTTCTTTGGCCTTCCTCTTTTTCGCTTCCCTTCAGGATTCCAAGTTAGGGCTTGCCTCGTGATGCAGTTTGACGATTTGCGTAATGTATGTCCTATCCATTTCCATCGTCTTTTCCTAATTTCTTCTTCAGCTGGAAGTTGGTTTGTTCTCTCCCACAGAAGGCTATTGCTGATGGTATCCGGCCAATGGATGTTGAGTATCTTGCGTAGACAGCTATTTATAAATACTTGTACTTTCTTGATTGTGGTTGTTGTAGTTCTCCAAGTTTCAGCTCCATACAGTAGAACTGCCTTGACGTTCGTATTGAAGATTCTCACTTTGATATTGGTTGAAAGTTGTTTTGAGTTCCATATGTTCTTCAATTGTAGGAATGCGACCCTTGCTTTGCCGATCCTCGCCTTTACGTCTGCATCTGAACCTCCTTGTTCATCGATGATGCTTCCTAGGTATGTGAAGGACTCTACATCTTCCAGAGTTTCGCCATCAAGAGTGATTGGATTGCTGTTTTCCGCTTTGAATTTGAGGACCTTGGTTTTCCCTTTGTGTATGCTGAGGCCTACTGATGCAGAGACTGCTGCTACACTGGCTGTCTTCATCTGCATCTGTTCGTGTGTACGTGATAGGAGGGCTAGGTCGTCTGCGAAGTCCAAATCGTCTAATTGATTCTGAGCTGTCCATTGTATTTTATGTTTTCCTTCAGATGTCGAGGTCTTCATAATCCAGTCGACCACCAGAAGAAAGAGGAAGGGAGAGAGTAAACAGCCTTGTCTGACTCCAGTCCTTACTTGGAATGCATCTGTCAGCTGTCCTCCATGCACTACTTTGCACTGTAGTCCGTCGTATGAGTTCCGGATAATGTTGACAATCTTCTCAGGAACTCCGTAGTGTCGAAGAAGTTTCCATAATGTCCTCCTATCTACACTGTCGAATGCCTTTTCATAATCAATGAAGTTGATGTATAGTGATGAGTTCCACTCAACTGATTGTTCGACGATGATCCGTAGTGTTGCAATTTGGTCTGTGCACGACCGATCCTTACGGAATCCAGCTTGTTGATCTCGAAGTTGGGCGTCTACTGCATCCTTCATCCGGTTCAGCAACACTCTGTTGAAGACTTTCCCTGGTATTGACAGTAGTGTAATGCCTCTGTAGTTTTCACATTTGCTCAGATCTCCTTTCTTTGGAATCTTGACGAGGTGTCCTTCTTTCCAGTCCATCGGCACTTGTTCCTCCTCCCAAATCTTTTTGAATAGAAGGTAAGCATGCTTGTGGTTGCTTCGATGTCTGATTTCAGTGCTTCAGCTGGTATGTTGTCGGGTCCTGCTGCTTTCCCGTTCTTGATTTGTCTGACGGCCATTCTAATTTCTTCCGTCGTTGGTGGGTTGACATCTATAGGAAGATCTATGTGTGCTGCTTCGATGTCCGGTGGATTCATTGGAGCCGGCCTATTCAGGAGTTCCTCGAAGTATTCTACCCATCTGTTACGCTGTTGTTGAATTTCGGTGATTGGCTTGCCTTCTTTGTCTTTGACCGGCCTCTCTGGTTTACTGTATTTCCCTGCTAGTTTCTTCGTTGTATCGTGAAGCTGTTTCATATTTCCTTCTCTAGCAGCTTTTTCTGCCGTCGTTGCTAGTTCTTCCACGTATTTCTTCTTGTCGGCTCTAATGCTCCTCTTCACTTGTTTGTTTGCTTCTATGTATTCAGCTTGTGCTTGGACTTTCTCTGCTCGTGTTCGGCTGTTGTTAATTGCTGCCTTCTTGTTCTTCCTTTCTTTGATCTTGTCCAGTGTTTCTATAGAGATCCATTCCTTATGATGGTGTTTCTTTAGGCCCAGAACCTCTTGACACGTTGAAGTTAATGCTTCCTTGATGCCTTTCCAGTTGTCCTCCATACTAGTTTCTTCTTCTTTCAGTAGATCTTGTAAGGCTTGGAACCTGTTGTTGAGAGCTATCTTGAATTCATTGAGTTTGTCAGTATCTCGAAGGAAGGCTGTATTGAACCTTTGTAGTGCTGTTTGTCCACTTGTCCAGTTCTTTTTTAGCTTCAGTTTTAAATTGGCTACAACTAGGTGGTGATCTGAAGCTACGTCAGCACCTCTCCTGGTTCTCACATCTTCCATTGTCCTTCGGAATTTTTTGTTGATGCAAATATGATCTATTTGGTTCTCTGTAGTGTGGTCCGGTGAGATCCATGTAGCCTTGTGTATACGCTTGTGTGGAAATATTGTGCCTCCTATGACCAATTTGTTGAATGCACATAGATTTGCAAATCTTTCTCCATTTTCGTTTCTTTCTCCCAGTCCATGTCGTCCCATAATATCTTCATATCCAGTGTTGTCTATTCCGACTTTGGCATTTAGATCTCCCATCAGAATAGTTAGGTCCTTTCTTGGCATTTCTCAATGATTGACTGCAGCCGCTCGTAGAACTGATCTTTAATGTCGTCGTTGCTATCATTGGTGGGTGCATAACATTGGATAATATTCATTAAGATCCCCTCCTTCTTTGTTTTGAATGATGCTTTGATGATTCTGGATCCGTGAGACTCCCATCCTACAAGTGCATTTCGTGCTACTTTGGACAGCATAAGAGCGACTCCCTGAGTGTGTGGAGCATTGTCCTCTTCGTGACCGGAGTATAGCAGCATCTCTCCCGTAGCTAGCCTTTTCTGTCCAGCTTGGGTCCAGTGGGTTTCGCTGATTCCCAGTACTGCTAAGTTGTATCTCCTCATTTCCATTGCTATTTGACTGGTCTTCCCGGTTTCCTGCATTGTTCGAACGTTCCATGTACCTATAAAAATTTTTGCTCTGGTTGTTAGAAGGGGCATCGGCCTCGTGGCTTCCGAAGGAACTCGGCTTTCACCATGAAGCGTCATAATTCTTCTAACTGAAGACCTTCTAACTCCCAGGGCAGAGTTTAAATGGTTTGGATTATTTTTCTGGTAAGCGTTTTTTTAGCGAGTTAGTTTTCTACGGGATGGGGACGCTAATACCATACCCAACCCTCCTCCTTCACCCGGGCTTGGGACCGGCAGTAACCCTATAAGAGCTACAGGCGGAGTTCTAAAAAAGTTTATTTATTCCAAAACCATGAAAGAGGTTTACATTTATTACCCAGACATAATTCACTCGTTGTTCTAGCTGGCTAAATTATTATGTATAAATTCTATCATGGACTTAGCAGTGGAAAAATTACAATTGAAAATAGTACTTCATAACCTGCCAAATTTTTCTTTCTTTCTGGGAACAGTTTAGTATGAGATCAAAATGGAATAAAGGAATTCAAACAAGCTAATATTTCATATGTAATGACTAGGCTTTAATGGAAAGTTTATGTACTACAGAACACTAATAATTTAGAAGCAAACAGTACGCAGTTTTATTCATCAAAAATAAATTAAGGTTGATTATTTCCTAAATGGTAATATTTTTTTCCTGAATAACACAAGAAACAATTAATCATATGTTGAATAAATAAAATAAGTAAAAAGTATGATTCTAGGAAATATCATGAGAAAAATTTATTCGAAGCAATCGGTCCCCGTGATAAATTTGGATAGTGTTATAAGAAGTTCTGATAGTCTTCTTCTTTTCATTACACTATCCAAAGACAAATTCGCAATACACCAGATAAACATGAAAGAGAATAGATATTCACATATTACTCGAAAGACGAATTGGAACACCAATCATCACCGAGATCCGAATTTGTTTATTATCAGTGGTCTAGAGGTTAAGCGTTTGCGCGTGAGACCGATAGGTCCTGGGTTCGAATATCGCGAGGCGGAGTCGTGGGTGCACACTGCTGCGGAATCCCATAATAGAACGAATTATTCATTTATTTATTTATTTGAACACATAAATATTGATACAAGAGAGCGCCAATGTATATGCGCCACACAAAACAATGAGAATTCGAAGAGAAAGAAAGAAAGGTAAGGAGCGTAACAAAAAAGAGAACAATAACGAAGAGGTTGGTTTAAGGTAGTGTAGTAATAATAATAGTAATAATGAGGGAACGGAAAGGTACAATCAGAAGAAATCTTTCAGTTAAGGAAGACACAACCACTTTTTATGAAGAAAGTAAAAGAAGGTTACAGCAGGATCGCCACTGGCTTCTATTCTGAGCCATATCTGATAACGTCTCTAGCCACTGGTTGTTAGAAGGGGCATCGGCTTTGTGGCTTCCGAAGGAGCTCGGCTTTCACCATGAAGCGTCATAATTCTTCTAAATGAAGACCTTCTAACTCCCAGGGCAGAGTTTAGATGGTTTGGATTATTTTTCTGGTAAGCGTTTTTTTAGCGAGTTAGTTTTCTACGGGATGGGGACGCTAATACCATACCCAACCCTCCTCCTTCACCCGGGCTTGGGACCGGCAGTAACCCTATAAGAGCTACAGGCGGAGTTAAACGTTGCGCTTTAGTTCGATACAAATGTTCACTTTGTGTTTTACAACTTACACCACTCATGACATGAAACATGTCAATCATAAACGGATATATAGCATACAAGCGCACTCTATTCTGCTATACAGCTTTGATAAATGCCTAATGGGAGAAAATAGAAGCTATGTGTGTTTCAGGACCTTTTTTTAAGTTTTGTCAAATACTGGGTCACTGTGAAAAGTGTTTTAAGTTAACTTCTGAAACTACTTACATGGTTTTCATAACTAGGTCGTCAAATTGTAACTTATTGGATAAACTACTTGTGTTTCAGCGAGTATAAACCTCGCTTCACATCCATTTGAAAAACTGGGTAGTATTACTAGCCGTCTTACAGTATGGTCTAAAGCTGAGCTCATTAACCAAAACAAGAGTGATCAATAAATTTTTAGTTTGTTGTGCATTGTTCTTGGCTAACAAGTTACGTGTAAACGAAACCGCCTGTTCATGATTAGCGATTAAAAGTTGAAATGTCATTCAAAATTAGATGAATTTTCCTTCACACAATCAAGTGTAACAACCTCACTACTCAAATTCAGTGCATCAGCACTATGGATGCCTACAGATTATTCTGGTATAAGCTGCTGATTACAAAGTTTATACTAACGTAATTGAATGCTACGTTTTCTGCTGTAGTAACTAAGGTAGAAAGAAAGTTGGGATCATGAGTCAATCGAAGCTAGACCACCATGGAAAACCTGGAAGCACTGGGTGGCCGTTTCGTCCTTTTGTGAAGGAGTCCCACAATAGGACGTAACGGCTGTCAGTGCTTCCAGGTTTTCCATGGTGGTCTAGCTTCGATTGACTCGTGATCTCAACTATTGAAATTACTGCAATCTCCACAAAACCCCTTCTGATGGTAGAAAGAAAGCTTTAGAAAATCAACTTGTCGCACTAAGTTGATGTGATGTCACTTGCGTACTGAAATAGTAATAGTCTGATTCGTTTACCAAGTACAGGTGTATGTACTCTGTTGTGAAACACATTGTTCATGTAATGGGTAGTGATATTTACCGACTAGTTTAAACGTGATGGGTTCGCCCAATAAACCATGACTCATTTGGTATGTGGTTCACATAAATTCAGGGCTTCCTCAAGAAGATTTACGACTGTTTGGTACAGAACTGTCAAACTTATCTATTATGTAATCGGTTGACAGCGTTTATGCTTTGTACTTTTCCATCTGAGAATTCATTTGAGGTTATTTTTCTTAATATTCGGTTATCAAAACATTTTGACAAATTCTTGATGTACTTTCTGGAATTAAGTATGCACATTTTGATAATCAATAATTGTTCCACTTATACCAATCCCCTTTAAGGTTGGACCAGCGGTCTTTGAAGGACGTTATGAAGATACAGTTGGGACATATTTATTCTTTGAAAATAACTCCACTCTGAATAACACTCTTCCCATAGAAGGCGCTTCTCTAGCACCAGTGCACAAAATGGACGACCAAACATCACAGCATACCACAACCTATGTCGCTAAATCTTCCAAATCTCTTACATTTCAGCGCATTTTCCTAAAAGCAAAAGAAGGAAATCACTAGCTACTTCCATTGGGAATGTTAAGTTTCGAGTATTGGAGTGTAATTTGCAATATGGGGTTTTGTACTTGTTAAGACAAATATATTTTTAAATGAGCACCCAAAGCCTTCTTAACAAAAACCATTCTCAGAGATTTCCATAGTTACGTATTCCTGTTGCCCCTTCTGGAGAAGCATAGGCCGCCCCCAAATGGCCTGGTATGACCGAGAGCAGGGTAGGCCCGCCCTCCATCTCGAAATGCTCTCACATGGACACGCGTATATAGCCTTTGCCAGGGAAGTCCTACTCACTGCCTTCTCGTAGCGGGGCTGTTGTTTACGAAGATGAGAGGACAAAAAGCAAATGTCTGACTCTAACCGGGTTGGTGGACACGGAGATTCCACCTAGGGGAAATGGAAAACCCTGATTCCAAGCCAATGGTGCACATGGGCCCCAGTATCCTGAGGGAACAAATGGTGTATGAACCAATCGTTGGTCACCGGCTACCATGGGACTGCATCTCCTCACGATGCTCCACTGCCTTGTGGATCAGACCTTTAGGTCGGAGGCTCCGGGTGTTGCCCCCTAAGAAAACCACCTGCTTCGGTTCGGGCACCAATTGTAGGAGTGCTGTCCTTGCTTTGCCAACCCTCGCCTTTACGTCTGCATCAGTTATTTTGAATTCGTCGAGTTTGTCAGTATGTCTAAGGAAGGCTGCATTGAACATTTGTAATGCTGTTTTTCCAGTTGTCCAATGCTCCTTTAGCTTCAGTTTCATCCTGGCAACCAACTGGTGATCTAAAGCTATGTCAACTCTTCTGCTTCTCACGTCTTTCATTGTCCTTCTGAATTTTTTTATTGATACAAATGTGATCTATCTGGTTTTCTGTGATGTGATCCAGTTGAACCCATGCAGCTTTTTGTATTCGTTTGTGGTGTAATATTGTGCCGCCTATAACCATTTTGTTGAATGCACACAAAGTTGCAAATCTGTCACCATTTTCGTTTCTCCCTCCCAGTCCATGATATCTTCATATCCGGTGTTGTCCATCCCGACTTTGGTGTTCAGGTCTCCCATCAGGATGATGATATCCTTTCTTGGGCACTCCGCTATGATTGATTTCCTTAGGCAACATGTAATTTGTGTTCGAACGGTTTGATCTGTTACGTAAAACGTACTAGACAACCTAACTTTAATGATTTCTAGCGATAAAAAATAGGTTCATATAAACATTAGTTCAAAAGAGTACCAATATATATGTGTGCCACACAATAAATCACTAAGTCTGTATGGGCTGGGATACTGCCCGAGTGCCTGGACCAAATCAGGTGGTCCCCTTAGAGGGTTCCTCCCCGTACGTTTGACCTATAGGTCTAATCCTCAGGGTAGCGGAGCAACGTTAGGATGCAGTCACATGTTGTCCGATAACCAGTAGTAGGTCCACACCCCGTTCGTTCCCTCAGGATCCTAGAGCCCATGCACACCATTGGTTCGCCAACACCTAGATTGATTCTCCGCACCCACTAACCCTGTTTAAGAGCTGGAAATTCACCTTTTGCCTTCTCAATTTCGTAAACATTCCTGCCACGAGAAGGCAATAGCCATATGAGAGCATTTCGAGTAGAAAGGACCCTACCCACTCAGTCGTACCAGTGTTTGGGGGCGAATATTAAAGCATCGATCGTCTTAATTGAGGTTAGAATAAAACAAAATTAACATTTTATTCCGCTTTCCCAAAGTATGTTAATACAATGAGACCCTTCCATAATTAGTACAAATCACTAATTATTTCACTGAGTTACCTAAGGCAGTAGTAATTTTGTCTCCGCACATTTGAACTTCTAAGCGAGAACAATCATACATTCACTTCATTTAGAAGAGACTGAAGTCGTTTACTCTTTAAATACCTTTCTTTTTGAACCAATAAATCGCTTCGAAGTCCTAAAACTCTGATTGCAAGAGGCCCTTTCCACACTAATAACTAGAATATGGTTAAGAGAGTCAACTCTCTAATCGGATTTCTAATTTAACTAATTCAACAACTTCAAAAAACATAATTTAAGGGTTTGCATGTGCCGGAACATAACTGATGCCTAAAAACTAGGACATATTCAAACCCTTCTTTGGACTTCTGAATTGCAGTGTAGTATATATGGCTCGTCGTTTGCACGATATAATCCTATTGTTGATGACAGCATCAAAATCTTGACTTTGTGAAATCCCTAGGATTAACTAGTCGCTTATATGAAATGTTTCTATTCAGCATATACTTAAGTCCATCGCTGACATATTTCGGAATATAACTACACGCTGAAGATCGGTGCTCCACTTATAGGCCTGGCCCGTCCTGATAATAGATGAAGTAATTAGACAATCACACTCTACAAACACTAAAGTAGTTGATAAAGATATGGCTGCAATTTGGCTTTTTGTAACAAACTAAATGGGCGGCAAGAATACAAACGGCGAACTCATTTAAGAAAATCCAATGTAAATAACTCACATAGTGAAATACTATGTTTTTCAATATTTCGTGGTGTGGGTGATGGGAAGAGCTTTCTAACCCTACAGAAAGCGACGTCTAATTTTCACGACATTGAAAGGAACAACGGATGGGGTCGTAGACGTTTTGATTGTTTCTGTACCATGCTATTCAGAATATATATTTGACAAACCTTGTCCTGACTCAACCTTTAGTAACCGAAATCAAGCTCAGAGTTATTAGGAATTACATCACGTATATTTCAAAGAAAGCCTATAAGGTGAGAAATGTTTGGGAAAATCCTAACATCATAATAAATACGTATGTGCCACCTAGATTGAGCAAAAGCAAAAATGTATCATACATGATCACAAATATAAACAATTAAGTTAGTAAGTAGGTAAGCTAGACGAACATGAAGACTGATGGGAAGTAAATAAATAAACACTAACAAACAAGAACTGATAAAGTAAGTTGGTCAAAACGATACAGACAGTTTTCACAGCTGAGTGCAACATATTAGATGAATACAACAGAGGATCGAAAGCCCGTATGTTGCTGTCCATCAATTGGAACTAACAGCAAAATGCAGCAATAAACCGTCGGGTTGTTGCCGCATGAAACGAGATCACATTATTGCACATTTCACAAAATACTTTCCAAATGAGCTGCCACATTAAGTTCATCTTCGAACATCCAAGTAGGTGGGATAACACTGAAAAAGAGTTTGGACATGAAACAAGTGGTTTGAGACTTTACGGAGAAATGCACGAGAAACAAAAATGTAGTGCTTCTGTTGAGCGGGTTTTTTCAAGTTTGGAGAAACATTCGGCCGCATTTTTGAGGAGCAGTTGTATGTGAACAAAGAATAAGAGAATGGTAACAACTAGGAATTATTTATGAACTATTGTAACATATAATCTTACAGGATTATTAATCAAATAGTTTATACATATCCATATTCTTTTTGTCATAAGCCTCCGTTTGACCTATTAGCTGTTATGCGATTTACCATTCTTAATTTATTCCGAATCTATTAGTTACAGTCTACTGTGCTTACAGATGCCTTTGGCTTGATCTTGTATAATTGTTTTTTTTTTAATTTTATGGTGCGGTACTGTCAGGAATGCTTGTATATAAACCACGTATGTCTGAAATGTACGATTCATACGGCAGATACCGACATTTGTGCTGTGGATCGAACGGGCGGGGCTAGGCGAGAAGCTACTATACAGAGGACCGATAGGGAATCGGGATTGACTCTAGGCTGCTCGTGTTGGTTAACGCACCATTGGTTTAGCACAGGGATAAGGTCACGAGATATTTGGCAGGCCACAGGACATAACTATTAAATAATTTGATAAGTGTTCTTTTATAATTCCCTTACTGCGAACTTCCACTAAACCTGTTAACCAATGTTAAATGTTTTATTACGTCTCAATTATTGTTAATTATGTACCGTTTGCTCAACACCCTGTAACATATAGCCTGATTATTTTTAAAAGTACAGTTTCTTATTTGGTGCGCGATGCGGCCCAATAATTCCTGTATTCTAAACTAATACGTGTTTGAATTAAAAATACTAGATGCATGATATAAATAGAAGCTTGGCTTCTGTCTTTTAATTTATTGTACAGGAAACTGGGATTTCAGAAAGGCGTACGTTCTGGACCAATGAGAGTTAGGATTTTCCCGGCTTTAGCTTAAGACTACTCCCTTCAGTCAGAACGTATCATTGGTCAAGACGTAGGATGTTAGTCTATAAAGAAACATTATGGGATTCTTATTGATAAATCTTATCAAACGATATTGGCTAACTTTCACCTTCATAAGATTTTTAACTGGCCTGTCGCTCTATCAACACTGATCAAAGTATCCTCTCAGTAGTTTAACAAAAATAAATAGGTCTAGTAATTATGTCGCTCTTATAACACTAATTAGTCATGGGTGACTGAAAAGCTGATTTACAAAATATCCAATCAAATAACAAAAACATGAGCTACAGAAGAGTTCAAGTTGGAACTGATTCTACTGTGTCACAACTATATACCAGAAAAAATTTCCTGATTCATATTCATTACAAACTAACATACCATTGAACACCTGAAGGTACATTTATGTAAATTATTATTAACTTCACATTCTGTCAAAGCTTATAATTAATGAGAAAAAATTTATAAGTGAACTTATGGAAAAAAAAAACCAGTTTACCTATGTCCAGAACCGCTAATCCAGCGTACGAGAAATTCACATCGATGATCCAGAGAAATACGTCGACCAACAAACTGAGAGTCACGATCAATATATATTGAAGTAATAATTATTTATCGGTCGCATACTATTAAGTAATTTTGTTTAAATAATTAACTCAATGTTTATGAAAGTTAATATTAACCCATAGGCATACAACCTTGAAAAGCATAGTTGAATTCGGACTAGTCATTAACACAGAAATTATTTGTACAAGGACGTGAGTCCAAGGGTATTTTGGTTTACTATCCTAAATAACATCTGGGTTGCCTAACTGTTTTTAAACAAAAAAAAATCAATATTAATATTATCCAGTATGTGCGTACTGCCACTAAAAATACTGTAAAGTTATGACCTACTTCTGACATATGTGTCATTAAAATATTTGTCACTTCCTGGCCCCCGAATGCCCTGGTACGGCCGAGAGTGGGGTGAGTCCGCTCTCCCTCTCGAAATACTCTCACACGGCCGCGCGTATACAGCCTCTGCCAGGGAAGTCCTACTCATTGCCTTCTCGTGGCGGGGGTGTTGTTTACGAAAATGAGAGGACGAAAAGCGAATGTCCGGCGCTTTAACCGGATCACAAACCAATGGTGCACATGGGCTCCAGTATCCTGCGGGAACAAATGGCGTATGAACCAATCTTTGGTCACCGGCTACCATGGGATTGCATCTCCTTACGATGCTCCACTGCCTTGTGGGTTAGACCTTTAGGTCAAAGGCTCGGGGAGTGGCCCCCTAAGAAAACCACCTGCTTCGGTTTGGGCACCCGGGCAGTATCACAGCCCACACACAAACGATGAACTCTATGTCTTTGGCAACTACTTTTATCGCTCCGAAAAACAATCAGTCGATTCAAATAATTATCATTACTATTATTGTCATTATTAATACTATTATTATTACTATTATTGTCGTTATTATTATTATTATTTTCCACATTATTCACCCTCTTTTATACTTATACAGCGGCTCGTCTTTGGTGGAAATCCGACTGTATCTAAACGTTCTCGAGTCACTGTCCGGTTGAAAATTGTATGTTACCACCGAATATGAGTACTGAAGCAGTTTTTCTGAAACCACGTGCACCATTCAAACTGGCTGCCTTCAACGTTCGCACACTTATGCAGGTCGGACAACAGATAGGGCTGGCTATGTCTTTGGAAAGTCTTAATATCGATGTTTGTTGTCTATCCGAGACCCGTATTCAAGACTCTGGCGAAGTACTACAAATTCGATCTCCATCTGTCGCTTCGAAAAGCTTGTTTTACGTGCGCTTATCCGGGGACCCTGTGGCATCTTCGTCTGGTCTTGCTGGCGTTGGTGTCGCACTAAGCGCTAGAGCTGAGGCAGCACTAGTCGATTGGATCCCCATTAACAGTCGGTTATGTGCTGTTAGATTAGAAAGTTCCATCAAAGTGAGAAGAAATCGGCGTGAGAAACGATGTCTTTTCGTCATCTCCGCCTATGCCCCGACAGATTGCAGCCCGGATGCAATCAAGGATGAGTTTTACCACCAGTTATCTGTTCTTCTCCAGAAAGTGCGTTCGACAGATATTGTAGTACTAGCCGGAGACTTGAATGCTCAGGTCGGGCGTCTAGGCACAGAAGAGAGTCGTTTAGGTGGCCGATGGGGACTCGTTGGTCGCAGGTCAGATAACGGGGACCGTCTACTGCAACTTTGCACAGACCACAACCTGTTTCTGGCTAGCACTAACTTTCGGCACAGTCATCGCCGATGTGCCACCTGGCGTCCTCCCTCTGCATCTCAAGCCTGGACTCAGATTGATCACATCGCGATCAGCTACCGCTGGCGTGGTTGTGTACAAGACTGCCGCTCCTTTTGGAGTACCTATCTGGACTCTGACCATGCCTTGGTCTGCGCCAATCTTGCCTTACTTTTCAGTGGACAACGAAGTGACCGCCACCAACGGATTGATGTTAGCAAGCTGGTTGCAACTTCTGTTGCAAGTAAGTATCGAACCGAGCTAGCCTCTAGGCTAGCTACCACTCCACCGAAAAGTATAGATGAGCATTGGTTGCAATTGCATGACGCCATGAAAATGGCGGGAACAGTCAGTTGTGGGTTTGCGAAACGTCCCGCTTTAAGCACTGGGTTTCTTCTGGTTCCTTACAACTCATTGAAGCCCGTCGGTCTACTCCGGGTGACCGTGAGTTTGACCATAAACGAAGGATGTTACGTAAGGAAATTGGGCAAAGCTTGCGTAAGGACCGAGAAGCCTGGTGGTCGAAGCGTGCTAATGAGCTGGAAGCAGCAGCTGCATCTGGTAACTACCGGAAGCTCTTCCAGCTCATCCGAGCCACTGGCAGCAAGAAGTCTGGTGTGAGTGAAACAATCTGCGAGGATGATGGGATGCCAATCACTAACATCCATCGACGTCTTGGACGATGGGCAGAATTTTTCGAAGGGCAGTTCAACTGGCCTGCTGCTCCGGCAACATCGGTCAGACTGTCCTGCCCTCCATGGCCGGTGACGACTGATCCACCAAACGAGGAGGAAGTCCGCAAGGAACTCCAACTCTTGAAGCGTTACAAATCACCTGGCCCAGATGACTTACCTCCGGCTCTTTTTAAAGATGGTGGTGACTTTTTGACTAAGGAATTGACGACGTTGTTTACAAAGGTTTGGGAACTAGAGTGTGTACCAACGTCATGGAATGAGTCGATAGTTGTCCCTATCTTTAAAAAGGGTTCACGTCGTTCCTGTAACAACTATCGGGGGATAAGTTTACTTCCGATTGCGTCCAAGCTATTGGCTTCCGTCATTCTTCGTAGGTTGTTCAAAACCCGAGAAAGATTGACTCGCGAGGAGCAGGCTGGGTTTCGTTCTGGTCGAGGATGTATTGATCATATCTTCACCCTCCGCCAAATGTTAGAACACCGCCATACTTATCAAAGGCCAACAATCGTAGTGTTTCTTGACATCAGGGCTGCCTTCGATTCGTTGGACAGGACTGTTCTCTGGGATTGTCTATTGAAGAAGGGTGTGCCTGAGAAGTTTATTAACATCCTAAAAGCCCTATATAAAAACACCTCAGGCAGAGTGAGGGCATACAACCACCTCTCTCCATTGTTCCATTCGAGCAGTGGGGTTAGGCAGGGTTGCCCAATCTCACCATTCCTCTTCAACTTTGCCATCGATGACATTCTGGAAACAGCTCTGATGAATGTAAGTAATGGTGGTGTGGATCTGTTGCCTGGAGAAAGACTTCTCGACCTTGAGTATGCGGACGATATTGTCTTACTGTGCGATAATGCCCAAGGCATGCAATCCGCACTTAATCAGTTGGCAATCAGTGTCCGTAGGTATGGTATGTGCTTTGCACCTTCGAAGTGCAAAGTACTTCTACAAGACTGGCAGGATTCTAATCCTGTACTCACCCTGGATGGTGAGCAGATAGACGTAGTCGAGAAGTTCGTGTATCTGGGTAGCTGCATAAGTGCTGGTGGGGGTGTGAGTGATGAGATCAATGCACGTATAGTGAAAGCCAGAGCGGCTTATGCCAATCTGGGCCACCTTTGGCGCCTTCGTGATGTTAGTCTGGCTGTAAAAGGTCGGATCTACAACGCGTCGGTGAGAGCAGTTTTGCTCTATGCTTGTGAAACCTGGCCTCTCCGAGTTGAGGACGTTAGACGACTCTCTGTGTTCGATCATCGCTGTCTCCGAAGGATTGCTGACATTCAGTGGCAACACCATGTCAGTAATGCAGAGGTTCGGCATCGTGTGTTCGGGCACAGAGATGATAATTCAATTGGTGTCACCATCTTGAAACACCGACTTCGGTGGCTTGGACATGTTCTCCGAATGTCGTCCCAGAGAATTCCACGTCGTGCATTATTTGCCGACTCTGGGACTGGTTGGAAGAAGCGGAGAGGTGGTCAGTGCATGACATGGTGTCGTGGCATGAAAGAAAGCTGCAAAGGACTGGCTTGTGTTGGTCCTTCACGACTCCCTGGTTGGGGTCTGAGAGATGGTGCTACACAGTGGCTAGAGACGTTATCAGATATGGCTCAGAATAGAAGCCAGTGGCGATCCTGCTGTAACCTTCTTTTACTTTCTTCATAAAAAGTGGTTGTGTCTCCCTTACCTGAAAGATTTCTTCCGATTGTACCTTTGCGTTCCCTGATTACTAGCACATTACCTTACACCAATCTCTTCGTTATTGTTCTCTTTTTTTTGTTGCGCTCCTTAGCTTTTTTTTTCTTTCTTTGTATTCCTCTCGAATTTTCATTGTTTTGTGTGGCGCATATATATTGGCGCTCTCTTGTACCAATATTCATGTGTCCAAATAAATAAATGGTGTGACTTATATAGATAACATACTATAACATATAAGGCCAACAAGATGAACAGCCGTAGTAGAAATCATAATGGGAGAGGTTAAACATTGAGAATATGGTGCTAAAAGACAACAGAAAAATATGTCACAAGGAATAGTGAACTCAAGATCTAGAGGAAGATAAATGAAAGCATTTGAGTTAATGTGACCGGTTTTTAGACATGTCACTCAATTTTTTCAGCTACAGATTACCGTTATTTTTTATTTATTTTAAAACATAAAATCTACCCCAACAGGAGATAAAAAAAAAGCACCACAAAAAGTATGGATAACTTGATGACGAAAAAGTTATACATCCGAAGAAGAGAAATTAAACTAAGTGGAATAATTAACGAAAAAAGTACATAACGGAAGAATTAGTCCAGTTGACAATACACACGAAGTTGAAGTTATCAAAAAGTAAAAAGAAACTACGTCAGAATCACCAGCCATTTTTGTTCCAAGCCATGTTTGATATCTTGGGTCACTGAGTTGCATAAGCTCGCTAGGATCCACAACCAGGGGGTCGTGGTAGACCTGTAGGTTCCAGTCCTATTTCACTTTTATTCATACTACGGTACCAATTCAAAAACTGATCACTTCTCTACTTTCCCATCTAGTCTAAGCATCGGTAGCAAAGCTCGATATAGAAGCCTTTGGAATTCACGTGTAATCCATTGAATCCAGTGTGACACTAATTACTAAGGTCGATGGTGTTGCACATTTCATTGAAGAATCGAACACAGAAAATAGTCTAACATCCTCAAATTAGAAGTGCAAGGTTTTGTGACCATAGGAAATTACTCTTGCCAACGCTTTGTAAACCTGACCTTTAACAGCCTGACTAACATTCACGACGATGTCAAAAAGGGCTCACATTAACGTAACCTTCAGTGGCCATAAATACACACAGACTGATTTCATTTATCACTTTGTTATCACCACTCATGCATCTACCCATATACATGAAATTTTCAACTACTTTAAACAGTTCACAAACAAGAGTCTGTGAAGGTGCAGGTACGTGCTACATTTACGATTACTGATTCCAAATCGACTGAGTGTGATACTCATAATCTGAGTATCACCTCACATTAAAAATAAAACCGTCCGCGTACATAAGATCGAAATTTTTTTAGGTAACTGATACATATCACTACTACTTATTACCACCAAATATTCTTCCAGAATGTTATCGATGACAAAGTTGGAGACGGATATTGATTATGAGAAGCCCTGTCTAACACCACTGCCTGAGTGGGACAATAGGGAATGATTGTATGAAGCCACTCTGACTGAGCTGTCTATGTAAGTAGCCTTTCAAATACTGATCAATTTTCAAGACACACAATTTAACGGACAATCTCAGAGTACAGTCCTAGACAATGGCTGGAATGCAGCCGTATTACTAAGAAGCACAACAATTGTTGGCCTGGAATAAATATGGCAGTGATCTAACATTTGACAGAGGGTAAAAATGCGATAAATGCATCAACGACCTAGACGTAAACCGATCTTTTCGTTAGTCAGTCTTTCGTGGGTTCTGCGCCATCTATGAGCAGCAGACGAGATGAACTGTTTCTGAAAAAGTACACATTGTCTAGGATGTCGTTGACTAGCGTCCCATCAGGTCCTGAGATTTTATCCTTCAAGCCAGGTATTTCGCTGACAGAAGCTCGGATGGGCTGAAATATCTTCCAGCAGTTAACAAGTACTACTGCTGTCTATAAAACTTTTGCATTATTTTATTTATATTTACTTGAATACATAAAAACTGGTACAATACGGCAACAAATACATATACACCATACAATAACAATGAGGATGTAAGGAGATGAAAAATGTGAAGTGCGTATAACAAAGCAACAACAAGGAACAAAAATTAGTTTATGAGTGAAATTATTAATAACAATTGTAATTATAATAGGAGAAACAATTCAGTTAGCAAAGGCACAACAAGAAAAAATTCCTCCAGTTAAAAAAGTTACGTCCATTTTTTATGAAGAAATGAAAAGAAAGTTACAGCAGGATCGCCACTGGCTTCTATTCTGAGCCACATCTGATAACGTCTCTAGCCACTGTGTTCCATCATCTCTAGGACCCCAACCAGGGAGTCGTGAAGAACCAACACAGGCCAGCCCTTTGCAGCTTTCTTTCATGTTACGACACCATGTCATAAATTGACCACCTCTCTGCGTTTTCCAACCAGTCCCAACGTCAGCAAATAATGCACGACGTGGAGTTCTCTGGGACAACATTCCTAGAACATGTCTAAGCCACCGAAGTCGGTGTTTCGAGATGGTGACACTGACTGCATTATCATCTCTGTGCCCGAACACACGATGCCGAACATCTGCATTACTAACATGGTGTTGCTACTGGATGTCAGCAATCCTTCGGAGACAACGATGATCGAACAAAGAGAGTCGTCTAACGTCCTCAACTCGGAGAGGCCAGGTTTCACAAGCGTAGAGGAGAACTGCTCTCACCGACGCGTTGTAAATCCGACCTTCACAGCCAGACTAACATCACGAAGGCGCCTTTAGGATGTTAATAAACTTCTCAGGCATACCTTTCTTCAATAGACAATCCCAGAGAACAGTTCTGTCCAACGAGTCGAAGGCAGCCCTGATGTCAAGAAACACTACGATTGTTGGCGTTTGATAAGTATGGCGATGTTTTAACATTTGGCGGAGGGTGAAGATATGATCAATACATCCTCGACCAGAACGAAACCCAGCCTGCTCCTCGCTAGTTGATCTTTCTCGGGTTTTGAACAACCTACGAAGTATGACGGAAGCCAATAGCTTGGACGCAATCGGAAGTAGACTTATCCCCCGATAGTTGTTACAGGAACGATGTGAACGCTTTTTAAAGATAGGGACAACTATCGACTCATTCCATGACGTTGGTACACTCTCTAGTTACCAGACCTTTGTAAACAACGTCGTCAATTCCTTAGTCAGAAAGTCACCACCATCTTTAAAAAGAGCCGGAGGTAAGTCATCTGGGCCACGTGATTTGTAACGCTTCAAGAGTTGGAGTTCCTTGCGGACTTCCGCCTCATTTGGTGGATCAGTCATTACCGGCCATGGAGGGCAGGACAGTCTGACCGATGTTGCCGGAGCAGCAGGCCATTTGAACTGCCTTTCGAAGAATTCTGCCCATCGTTCTCACAGACTGTCTCGCTCACACCAGACTTCTTGCTGCCAGTGACTGAGATAGGTCAAAAGAGCTTCCGGCAGTTACCAGATACAACTGCTGCTTCTAACTCATTGGCACGCTCCGACCACCATTTTTCTTGAACATTACGCAAGCTTTGCCTCATTTCATTACCTAACAGTCTCCGTTTGTGGTCAAACTCGTGGTTACACGGAGTAGACAAACGTGCCTCAAGAAGTTGTAAGGAGTCGGCAGAAACCCAGTGCATATAAGCGGGACGTTTCACAAAGCCACAAGAAACGTAACCCACCATTTCCATGGTGTCAAGCAAACGCATCTACCTCTCATCCATACTTTTCCACGGGTTGATAGCTAGATTTCAATATACCTCGACTCGACAATTAGTTGTAGCAAAGGTTGTAGTGGATTTGCCTGGATCAATCTGTTTAGGACGTTTAGGAATGACTGTGACAGAAGTTGGTGCTGGCTGAAAGTAAGTTGTTGCTTGTAGGAGACGGCTACCGTTATCTGACCTGCAACCAACGAGTCTTCATTGGGCAGCCACCCAAGCAACTGTCCTCTGTCCCTAGATGCCTGGCCTGCACATTCAAATCTCCGTCTGGCACTACGATATCTATCGGGCGCGCTTTCTCCAGACAAATAAGTTGGTAGTGCAACTCATCCTTTATTGAATCTATACTGCAATGTGTCGGGACATAGGCGAAGATAGCAAAAAGACCGTTTCACACGCCAGTCCATGCTCATCTTGATTGAGCTTTCCGATCTGACGACACACAAACGACTGTTAATGGGGGATATAATCAATTAGTGCTGCCTCTGTCATGTCACTTAATACAACGCCCATGGCAGCTAAACCGGACAAAGATGTCACAAAGTCCCTGTATATGCGCACGTCAACAAGCTTTACGAATCGACAGATGAAGAGAATTTGTAGTGCTTCATCAGAGTCTTGAATACTGGTCTCAGAGGTACAACAGATGTCGACACCAAGACTTTCCAATGACAGCCAAACGTATCTGTTGTCCTATCCTCATCAATATGTGACTGTTGAAGGAGGCCAGTTTTGGATGAGATACTTTGATCCATAAAAGGTGTATTAACAATCGCATTCCGTGGAAGCATCCATAAATTCGACTAAACCGTGACATGAGATTGTTTAAATAGGACAGAACTTCCACCATAGATGAGCTGCTGGGTGATTTGACAAATAAAGAATACATAAAGTGAAAACAAAGAAAAACTGAGAAGTAACAGTGTAAAATAAAAATGAGTGTGACGAAATAATAATCAATACTATTTGCGTGAATAACAAAGCGAAACAAGATTTTTCCAACGGTAATTGTCATCAGAATTGTGACAAGAGGTGGGGGCTTCAGCAATTGTTATGAGTGGAGTAGTGATTGACAATAGTGAACAGAATAAGTTAAGAAACCAATAAAATATTTATGTACTTATTGCCTTCACTTCGAAAACAGTGTCTTAATCTGAATTCTTAGTATGATCATTATTATTCTAATCATGTACTACAACGATTTGTGATACTGATATAATTTACATATTAAGTTTCCCCAACTGCAATCGATTGTATATTAACTTACCGTATGAGGAGTTGTCAACAGCAATGATATGTGCTGATGAACATCTTTTGTATGCCTCAACAATGATGGTAGGGTCGATTCTTTACTAACCATGATATTTGGTGGATTAACATTGGGACGTGCACGCGAATTTGTAGATTTGTCATAAAGTTTCAAAGGTAACTTGCAAAAACTTAGTGGTAAAATGCGAGATCGTTCATGATTATTTTTTGTTGTGAGCTCCTTATTAAGAAGATATGAAATTTTTAACTTGTTTTTAACCAGTATTTGACTTCTGTAATCATAAAAATCCAAGCGACGAACTATAATACAAAGTATAAAATGTAAAAACAATATGGTTGGTGTGCAACTCACTAACAAATGGTCAAACGCAATAAGTTGAGGCCACAAGACCTCATAAACGAGAATATTCTTACCGTATTTATTATCTCATTCACAAAGAATAGTCAAATTGAATTTGGAAATCATTTGGAGACGTAAATCACTAGTAAGGCACATAAACAGCCTATAAATTAGCAGACTATAATACGTCGGGAAAAAACATTATTTCACAACTCGGATCATATCCACTCAGATATAATCCAAAACACGGCCACTAACAACTGATAAGTGGTTTTTCGAAGACTGTATCGTTTGAAATACATTATCTCACATCGACATCATCCACCATAGCCATTTTTAATAATGCAGAGTTGAAGTTTCATGATGTTGAGTAGTCTTAAATTGGGGAAAAAATTATTTAATACTCCCTGATTTCAAATGGTTCGGCCAGTGCCAGAAGTGTAAGTACTAGCTTAAAATGAGCAGCCCAAGTGCTGGACACCTTAAATGATTGAGATTTACAATTTTAATGGTTGACTGACTTCGACTGATTCATTTTATCATGAGATAAAAATACACTAACAATATTTAAAGAAAATCTTATATTACAATGATACCCATCCATTTAACAAGCTTTCATGTATAGACTAACCTCGGTAGGTTCGCGTTTTCTTACGTTTGCGCAAATTTTTTTGGTAGACAGCGAAGTACATTTCTTTAATGGATTTTGTAAATTAGTTATTTCTTCTGAATGTGGCTGACAAAGTATGTTCTTGTCAGTTAGAGATACTTTGGGTAAGGAATCACTATTGATACGATTTGTGCGCATATGTGTCCGTTGAACATGACGTTCTAACAATGTGGAAGTAGAAAATCGTAATGTGCATGCATCGAAAATGCATCTAAATGGTTTTCCTTTGGCATCCGTATGATGAAGTATATGTTGTTCCAGCCACGCAGCCGAAACACTAGGTCTTCCAAACACACGACAATCCTGCCACAAACAACTAAAATATTTTCGCCGACTGGATAACTGTGGGACGACATGAATTTGTTGAATGTGATTGATCAACTGACTCCTTTCAATGTCAACACATCCACAACCCTTCCACTTACAAACGGAGGAAATACTACTAGACCCACAGGAAGTAGATGAAACAGAAGAAGCAGAGGTATCTTGGATTGAATTGATCACAGACTGTTCTTTGAGACCGTTGTCTTCTACAGGCGATTTGGGGTCAGGCAAACAATCATCCCTATTTAAGAAAACATGACGATGCTTGAAGTGATTTCTTCTTTCTACATTCCTGTTCCGATGACGCAGATTCAAAGAATCAGATAACAACGACAGTTTATTGGCCAACCTAGTGTGGGACTTGTTTGTTAGAGCACGAGTTCGAACAGACAGTGAAGGTTTCAGTTGAGTGCAAACTGTGTGTGTCATGCTTCTCTTTAAAATTAGAGACAGATATTGATCGTCAGCTCCATCATGATATACAATCCTAAAAACCGAAGAATACACAAGGATTTGTTGATAGAGAAGATATACATAATCATTTAATTATGATGGATCTGAGGTTGCCACTTGTGTGAAAATCTATTTAGCGAAAATGATCGCTCGCAACTTAAAAAAATAATCACCAACAAGTAGTAAAGATACGGTTTTTTGCGATATATTCAAGTTGCAACTACTAACGCAGATTGTTTCTATAAACCATGTGAAGTTTGTGGTCATAAGTGCTGTTAGAAGTATGAAGGCGGTTATCACTTTCCGGTTGCCCACACAGTAGAACGGTTCTCCTTGAGGTACCTGAAAACGAAACAGGGTTAGAGTAGGTCTTCGTGACCTGATAGCTTGACCGCAATGTCGAAGGGACAACTGCTTGAGGCCAGTCACACACGACTTTTTGTGTTCGCTCCGTACTTGTTGAGACTTTACCGCAGGAGGCTAAAATCCGCGGGATGAGACGAGGTGTGCATTATTAGGGTCGACCTAACCTCACGGTTCCTTTGTGGGAAGGCAGAATAGATGTTATGCTGATTGTCTGAAGTAAACACCTTACTGCCATCACACCTCTGGACAGTTAGCAGAACGAACCTTGGGAAAGATTGTCCTGGACAGTATAGCCCGATTCAGTCAGTCAGCTACAACGTAGGACCAGGCACATATGTGCATCGGTCCAGGTTGCCATACCGCATCAGCACAACAAGATGAACACCGGATTCATAGCAGTGGTTAGGTCAAAGGTGGTAATATATAAGAGAGAGATTGCATATAGAAATATAGTACAAGAAGAAAGAATTGGTTCGTAAAAATAAAGATATGAAGTGATTTTAATCTCTTAGTTTAAGGAAGACAAAGAGCGTAGTAGCCCGATTCGTTCATCACGATAGGCTAGCCCGATCACCACGTCAAGGTAGCAGTAACAGTCAGGCATGCTAAGTTTAATTAATTTTGTTTTTCTTGCTGTTTGTTAGTTATTTCTCAGAGCACCAACTTTAAAAGCTTATTCCGAAGTATTTGTAATAAGGAATGGAAATTGAACAGAGGCCAGAGAGTGCGATACTAATTCGCTTACAAAAATCCACAGTAAAACATAACATAACTTTAGCGTTCGTCAGTAACACTTAATGAGGTCTTTAATGTACGCTGTCGACATTCATTCAGTCACAACGTAGAGCCTGTATGTATATAAATCGGTTCACATACCCCATTAGCATAGAGAGATGAATTTTCAAGGCCAAATTTCGGAAGAGGTAGTTACAGAATTAGTGGTAATAGGAAAGATTAGGTGTCAAAGATGCGGATCAAAAAGAAAATATAAATTGACGAAATAAAAGTATAAAGGAAGTTATGAGGAAGTTAGAATTCGGGGAAAGACAAAGCATGGATGTACCTACGCCACTGCAAACGATCTTGAGTCAGGTCATTCAAAGTTTCAAACCATTTGTTACGATAATCACGTGGATCCTAACCAGGTAGTCTGTACCTAATAGCACGTCTAAGTTCAATTGTCAGTGACACCATAGACTGATGCCATGTTTTGGTCTGGCCGCCCCTAGCTTTCTTCCAGACTACTCCTACACCAAAAAACATTGCCTGTCGAGGTGAGCGATGGGTGGACATGCGTAGTGCATGTTCTCACCACTCCAGTTAATGAAGATTTACTACATCATAAACTAATTCCCCATCTTAACCCAGGCTATGCTTACTCCGTGGTCCAAAAATTCATGAGCAATGTTTGTAGACACCTGAGAATATCCTCTACTCTTGATGACCACGTTTTACATCCATAAAGTAGAGTAGACTACTAAGCAGTAAACTCCCCGTTGATAGGAAGATGGATATCTAGACTATGCCACAAGTGACGCAATTCGGCAAAAGCCAATCGAGCCTTCTCATACCGTGCCGAGATTTCGTCAGATGCAAAACTCCCAAGTTAGGTGAACATTGGTATGAAGGGGCACTGAATACATATGCACGATACAAGTCATTTGATTTGTGATCAGCGATCGAGACCAGTCAGATTGGATTACATCCAGTTCCCAGATTTTAGCCCCAGAATGCCCTGGTATGGCCGAGAGTGGGGTAGGCCCACCCTCCTCAAAATACTCTCACACGGCCACGTGTATATAGCCTCTGCCAGGGAAGTCCTACTCACTGCCTTCTTGTGGCGGGAGGTTGGTTACGAAAATGAGACGACGAAAAGCGAATATCCGAATCTTTAACCGGATCCCAAACCAATGGTGCACATGGCGCACGAACCAATCGTTGGTCACCGGCTACCATGGGACTGCATCTCCTCACGACGCTCCACTGCCTTGTGGGTTAGACCTTTAGGTCGAAGGTTCCGGGTGGCCCCCTAAGAAAACCACCTGCTTCGGTCTGGGCGTCCGGGCAGTATTACAGCCCTCACACAAATATGATGAAATGTCGATATTTATGGAAATACTTTTCTTGCTTCGATCAACAATCAAACGATTCATATTATTATTATTACTATTATTGTTATTATTATTCTTTTATACGTCATTTATTCACTCTTTTTATTCCCACTTTATGTATCCTTATTTTTCGACTTATACAGCAGCTCGCCTATGGTGGAAACTCAGTTCTATCTAAACGTTCTCGAATCATTGCCTGGTTGAAAATTGTATGCTACCACCGAATACGAATACTGAAGCAGTTTTTCTGAAACCATGTGCACCATTCAAACTGGCTGCCTTCAACGTTCGCACACTTATGCAGGTCGAACAACAGATAGGGCTGGCTATGTCTTTGGAAAGTCTTAATATCGATGTCTGCTGTCTATCCGAGACCCGTATTCAAGACTCTGGCGAAGTACTACAAATTCACTCTCCATCTGTCGCTTCAAAAAGCTTGTTTTACGTGCGCTTATCCGAGGACCCTGTGGCATCTTCGTCTGGTCTTGCTGGCGTCGGTGTCGCACTAAGCGCTAGAGCTGAGGCAGCACTAGTCGATTGGATCCCGATTAACAGTCGGTTATGTGCTGTTAGATTAGAAAGTTCCATCAAAGTGAGAAGAAATCGGCGTGAGAAACGATGTCTTTTCGTCATCTCCACCTATGCCCCGACAGATTGCAGCCCGGATGCAATCAAGGATGAGTTTTACCACCAGTTATCTGTTCTTCTCCAGAAAGTGCGTTCGACAGATATTGTAGTACTAGCCGGAGACTTGAATGCTCAGGTCGGGCATCTAGGCACAGAAGAGAGTCGTTTAGGTGGCCGATGGGGACTTGTTGGTCGCAGGACAGATAACGGGGACCGTCTACTGCAACTCTGCACAGACCACAACCTGTTTCTGGCTAGCACTAACTTTCGGCACAGTCATCGCCGATGTGACACCTGGAGTCCTCCCTCTGCATCTCAAGCCTGGACTCAGATTGATCACATCGCGATCAGCTACCGCTGGCGTGGTTGTGTACAAGACTGCCGCTCCTTTTGGAGTACCTATCTGGACTCTGATCATGCCCTGGTCTGAGCCAATCTCACCTTACTTTTCAGTGGACAACGAAGTGAGCGCCACCAACGGATTGATGCCAGCAAGTTGGTTGCAACTTCTGTTGCTAGTAAGTATCGAACCGAGATAGCTTCTATGGTAGCTACCATTCCACCGAAAAGTATAGATGAGCATTGGTTGCAATTGCATGACGCCATGAAAATGGCGGGAACAGTCAGTTGTGGGTTTGCGAAACGTCCCGCTTATAAGTACTGGGTTTCTTCAGGCTTCTTACAATTCATTGAAGCCCGTCGGTCTACTCCGGGTGACCGTGAGTTTGACCATAAACGAAGGATGTTATGTAAGGAAATTGGGCAAAGCTTGCGTAAGGACCGAGAAGCCTGGTGGTCGAAGCATGCTAATTGGTGGATGATATTGTCTTACTGTGTGATAGTACCCAAGCCATGCAATCCGCACTTAATCAGTTAGCAATCGGTGTCCGTAGGTATGGTATGTGCTTTGCACCTTCGAAATGCAAAGTACTTCTACAAGACTGGTAAGATTCTAATCCTGTACTCACCCTGGATGGTGAGCAGATAGACGTAGTCGAGATGTTCGTGTATCTGGGTAGCTACATAAGTGCTGGTGGGGGTGTGAGTGATGAGATCAATGCACGTATAGTGAAAGCCAGAGCGGCTTATGCCAATCTGGGCCATCTTTGGCGCCTTCGTGATGTTAGTCTGGCTGTAAAAG